GTAAGAGAATGTACTATTGTACATTCATTATTTGTGCATGTACATATTATTTTTATTATATGTCTATGTATGTGTACATGTACATGAATGTATACAAGTATATTATCAAAATGATGGTTAAAGTTTAATACTGTACATGTACATATTGATGCATGTAAATTATGCAAAAATCACTTGAATTATTACTTCATTTTCATTTTAATTCTCTTGTCCTTCTAGTGTTTGTTGAGTTACATATCTCCCTTTGAGTGGCGTCACAGTATAGTACCGACAGTTCCTGATAACTTCATTGATATACTCGGAGCTCCTAGCATTAACATACTGGGCTGCCACTCCAACTGGCACGAGTCACCTGAGTTCACTAATGTAAGGAGTAGTGGATTTTTTATCATTTAAAACTAAATTTTGGGAAAAAAGCATGTACATGTATATGGCCCATTGTTTTTCAGAAAAATGGCTCCAAAATTACCCCAATTTTATTGCATTTTCTGATACACATTGATGTCCTTATGCTATATAGAAAGTTTGAGCAAATTTTGACTTAAATTTTAAAGTTATGACCATTTTTAAAATGGGTAAATTTCTGAAAAATTCTCTGTACTATAGCCCATAGCTTTTTCCAAAAATGGCTCTGAAATCACCCCAAATTTTTATTACATTTTCTTATTGGTGCCCTCCAATAGATTGATGATGCTGTTATTGTCAAATTAGATGAAGACGTCGTTGAGTCAAAACTCTCTTCGTTGTCCTCGTTCCCAGAGCTACCTGAGGCTGACAGGATGAGATTCAAAACCCAGTTAGCCACAAATACATACACAAACATAAATCCAATGTACATGTACATGTACAAGTGTACATTTTAATACAAGTATATGTACTAGAAGCCATTTTATTTTTTTAGCTAAGATATTTTTTTATTTTTTGTGCATGTACATGTATATACTGCAGTAGTTAAATTTATTATTTTTAGGTATCAAGAAATATTAGTGGGCGATTATGAGGTTGACAGCCTTGAGAGGTATATAATTTTAATGATGGTAGTAAATAAAAATATGAAATAATAATAATAATCATAATAATTATTTATTTATTATTTAATATTATACATGCAGGTTGGTGCTGCCATCTGCTATAGAGAGGGAAAGGAGGAAGAGTAACTTTGAGCATTACAAGGACACCACACTCTCAGCCTGTGAGTACATGTACATGTATGCATGTATACATTATTTGGTTTCTTAATTCACATGTAGTGTTTCTGGAGCTAATGGTCAGAGTTTTTGAGTAAGTTAAATAATAATTTAATAGTTTAATGATAATGATAATGATAATAATAATAATGATTAAAGAATGATTTTAAATAGTTAATAATTTCTATTTTTTCTCTCCCTCAGCTCAATAGTGCAGGATTTAAAGAAGAGCAGAGCAGTCTTTGAAGAACACTTGAACAGTTTGCCAGAGAAGGAGCAGTTCTTCTATAGAATAGTAAGCACACACCAGCTCCACTCATCATCACTTTCAATTTATTATGAGAAATTTACATGTACATGTACTTCAATTTAAGAGACTTCTCGTCTCCAACACTTGCATTACATTTATAGTACATATACAAGTAGGTCTCTTGAAACCTCTCATTTTTCAACTTTTGGTCTCTCATATTTATCCTACATGCACATGTACATGTAGGTGGTCTCCCATTTTTAACTTGATTAGTCTCCCAAAATAACTATAATTATTTCTAGATCTAACAATTATTTCTCTTCCTCTCTCATTCTCTCTCTTTTCTTTTCTCCCTAGGCTACCCAAACTGACATGTTCTCATTGTTCATGATGTCCCGTAGATTAGGAGTCAGGGATAATTTTAGTATTTTAGCCGATCAAGTTAAAAAGTACCTCCGACCAGCGAGATCCGTTGAAGGAGACTCACTAGTGTCTCAGACATTGCCCTCTAATGTTCTCCCACTAAACCCACTTACTCGTAGAAGGTACGTAGTGTACATGTACATGTACAGTACATGCACATGTACATACATGTATACATGTACATGTGATTGTCATGTGATTATTGTTTGATTTTATTTTCTAGTCGCCTCAGTATTGTCAATGCGATGTTATCAGGACAGTCATTGAAGTGAGTTGTGAATACATACGCGTGACATGTGACACCTTTCTCTTTGTGTTTATATTTCTTCTCTTTTAACCTTACTTTTTATTTTAATTTCTCTCCCCTCCACCTCTCTCTCTCTCTCTCTCTCTCCCTCTCTCTCTCCCTTCCTCCCTCTCTCTCTCCCTCTCTCTCTCTCTCCCCCTCTCTCTCCCTCTCTCTCTCTCTCTCCCCCCCCCTCTCTCTCTCTCTCTCTCTCTCTCCCTCTCCCTCTCCCTCTCTCTTTCTCTCTCTCTCTAGGCCCAATATTGTTGGTACTCAGTCTCTGTAAGAAACATTATCATTAAAATTTTATTTTTCATTTTTTATACATGTACATGTAGTCTTCGTCATCAAACTATTATTGAGGACAAGATGGGTCCATTCATCTCGTGGTCATGTAAGTAATTAAGACTCACACCACTAGTGGTAACTTTCTTCTTTTCTTTCCTTCTTTTTTTCTCTCCCAAATTCTTCTTTCTCATCCTCTTACAGACAGCAAGACCAGTTATTTCAAAGACTTACAGTGTCTCATCCTACCTCAGTTTGAGAACAAACCGATAGAGAGAGGTAAAGGCAATCATCATTAACATACATGTGTATGTTGCATACACATGTATGTACATGTACATGTGCATGTATTACATGTAGATATACATTTATACATGATTTTTTTATCAATCAATTCACTATACATGCACATGTACATAGTGTTTAGTTGTATGTACAGTACATGAAGAAAAGTCTAAGTGGGCTAAATGTAAATAAAGACTAAGTTAAAAATGCACATGTACATGTATAATATATTCTTATCATTAATTTACGTGTTATACACTGTACATGTACATATACATTTGTGCATTCTTGTTCTTATTGTTAGGTAAATACATTGAGACGGTTCTTAGTTTGCTGGATGACATGATAGCCGACAAGTCAATACAAGCAAACTGCATGTACCTCTGTGGGTACTATCATATCGCCAGTGGGAACGTATTAAAGGTACGGCAAGAGATGTACATGTACATGTATTGAAAATTAATAAAATGATTGTACAACATGTACATGCACATTTACATGTATATTTTAATTTTTTTCATTATCTAAAGGGATTAGAAATATTATGCGATGATCTTAAGAGATTAAACTCAAACATTGTACCGACACTTCAGTAAGAATTAATTAATACACTAACTGAACTAATTGAACTATATTGTAATACCGTATTTCCTTAAATAAAAGCCCGGGCGTCTATTTCCTAAAATGGTATTTGGACCTCGAAAAATATATAAAAAATTTAAAAAACTTAGGCCCAGAGTAGGGTTCGAAGCCGTGACCTCATACTTTTGACTTCTGGAACTCCACTAGACTACTGAGTCACTCGTACTCCTAGGCTAGTGTTGCGTATTTATACTTAAATTGTATTGCTACCCCGGCGTTTATTCGAATGCGGCTTCTATTTAAGGATTTACGGTAATTATAAATAATAATACATGCACATGTACATGTACATTTTTTTTATATGACGATCTCTTTCTCTTTTCTAAAGGCAAAGGATGACTTTTGTTTCCCTATTGTCTCCGGAAGAGAAAGAAGCGTTGGAAAAGAAGTCCTTTTACAAAGACCTCATCCCCAGACAAGTGTTTCAGGTATTGTTACTGGTTATCAATACTGGTTTGACCGGTTTGATGACGCCTGTATTTTATTGTTTTGTGTAGGATGGCTATGTGAGACATCCTTCAAATGCTTTAGCTTTGTAAGTTAAAATTAAAATTAGTATTACTAAATTTCTCTCTCTCTCCCTCCCTCTTCTAGCCGTAAAATTGGTTCACACAAGAAGACGCTTAGTAAGTATCTCATTCATAAACTTTTATTGTGTATTTGTACTACCTGTACATGAATATTCATCCTCTTCTTTTCTCTCTTAAGGTCATAATGAGTTCTCTAAAGAAATGACTCAAGAAAATGTTACCAAGGATCCCGAATCAGTCAGTAACTTGTTCTCAATTTTACAATCTGTCAATCATTCAGCAAGTAAGAGTAGCAAGAAATTTAATTGAAAAGTATTAATTTTCAAAATTATTATTAGGCGTTAGCGTGGAGTTATTTCAAGCTTTTCTCGAGTCTTGGAAGCAGGTGAGTGTAGCCTTATTGTAGGCGTGGTTGATAGTTAATAATTTAATTCCATTAATGATGTAGGTAGTGCAGGAGTATGAGAAAGCCAGTCAAATGATGAAGGCACAAGATCCTATACTGGGAGTCACTGAGGTATAGAATATGTACATGTACATGTAACATACATGTAACGTATTTACATGTACACATGTATTTTATTTATTTTTGATTTTACTAAGGTACATGTACATGTACATGTACATGATGTATAGGATGAAGTAATTTATGTACATGTACGTAGGATCAAAATTAATTTTTTAATATACATGTACATGTATATTAATTATTTTTATTTCAGAGAATTTTAGTTTACAATTCAAACTTGAGGACAAACGCTGGCTCCCACTGTCAAGTCTTCCTCACTACCCACAGGTACACTGTTACTATTAATAGTAACAGCAAGGAGCAATCCTTATAAGGAAAAATCTATATATAGTAACACACAAAATTGTGTAGTACTGCTTTTATATTTTGTCATTTACAGAATGTACTACATGTAAAGCATTGCTATTGAATTCTATTTTTAGTAACACATTCTATAAATAGTAACATTACAATACCCTACCTACAATGTAATAGGATATTGGTACAGACCCAGAGCGGTGGTGCCCTTAATAAAGATAAGGTTTTTGGTGTTCTCTCCGAAATGAACTTGTCCTCTTTCTGCAAGTCCGAGATATCCCTCACCGTATTCAGTCCAAAGGTTCCGATCATTAAATTTGATTGTCTTGACCAGTCGATGGCCTCATCAACTAGCGGGACAAGAAACAGTAAAAAAAATTTAATTATTTATTTTAGATTTATCTTTTTTTGAAGGGGTTACGCGTATCACTGCTAGGGCATCTAAGATGACTGATGTGTATATTGCGTTTCCTGACGTTGTGTCTCAAGAGCTGTGGTATCGACTCTTAAAAGAAGCAATAGCAGGCTGGCAGAAGTTTACAGGTAGAACATGTACATGTACACATACCATATAGTGGGAAATTTTGAAGGGGATTAAATTTGGCGAATTTGGCATTTTGATAGCCATTCGCCAAAATAAAAATCTGCCATTTTGAGCCATTATACGCATGCTCAATGGCACGTGGCCACAAATTCGCCAAATTAAAAATCCACCAATCACCAAAGTTTAGCAATTCAGCTAATTTTAGCCCCTCCAAAATTTCCCACTATACGGTACATGTGGTTGTATGTACATGTAACTAGTTAAATAGATTATTTTAAAACTCTCTCCCTCTTCCTCTCCCCCCCTCTCTCTCTCCCCTCTCTCTCCCCCCCCCTCTCTCTCTCTCTTTGTTTTGTAGCTCGTAAAGATGCTACAGTGATGGATCATGTAGAGTCTCATACAAGACTACTGCTGGCATTATTTAGAACTGGTTGGACTAATGAAGTTGATACTAATGTTAGACACAAGTGGTGCCAGGTTAGTATTAAAGTACATATACTGTACATGTACTAGAAGAATGCCAAACATTATAGCCTCCCTTACCACACCCTGATGTACATGTACATGTACATGTACATCTATATGTGTGTACATGTACATGTATACAAACTTTATCAGTATCAATATGTACATGTACATGTATTGGATTTAAACTTCAATTCTCTAATATATAGCTGTATCTTTATTGTAATTTTCCCTTCCTACTTTAATGATTCATGCTTTATTATGCATGTACATGTACATGTACAATGTACATTGTGTTTATTTCTTTAATAGAAAATCCTCAGTCTACAGTCCAAGCCAGTAGTGATAGATGTTAAAGCTACTGAAGCACTTCTCTATCGTATCAACCCAAACACTTATAACATTGAGAAAGCTACCATTGAATCAACACTATTTGTACCAAGAAGTAAGATACGGTACATGTACATGTACATGTATTATCACTGTGTACATGTAATGATTGTATCATTAATATTGTTCATATACATGTACTTTGTACATCAGATTGTGATAAAGTTATTTTTCCTATTTCCTGTAGGTGTTACTGGAGGAGAGGGGAAACTATGGTTTGGATTGGTAAGTTCATGTGCATGTACACGTAGTACATGTACATGTACAATGTACATGTACAATTATTCTTTCCCACTCAATCATACAAAACTAGCTCCATGTAATCCATGTGTACATGTATAGTATAGTGGGAAATTTTGGAGAGGATTAAATTTGGCAAATTTGGCGTTTTGATAGCCATTCGCCTAAATAAAAATCTGCCTTTTTGAGCCATTATATGCATGCTCAGTGACACGTGGCCACAAATTTGCAAAATTAAAAACCGCCAATCACCAAAATTTAACAATTTGCCAAAATTTAGCCCCTCCAAATTTACCCGCTATACAGTACTTGTATGATGCAATTTTAATTTTCATATAAAATTTAAAATTTAACCTCCCTTTCTCTCCCCCATAGGGTAATGGAGTATTGCGTGTGTACGATATGGAGGACAGGTGCTTTGACTCTGATCTCAAGATAATGGACTCCAGGAGAGGAAAGACAGTTCGTGTGTCTTGTCTGTTGCTAGTGGATTATAACGTTTGGGTCGGATCACTTAATAAAACTATTCATATTCTTGACGTGGAGACACTCTGTCGTAAGTCAATCTTGCCTAGAATAATAGTAGAATTAAACATGTACATGTACATTTATTTACATGTACATGTAGCTATGCTGTACATGTAACATATGTATACTGTATAGCTAACATTTTGTGGCCTCAAATTTTTGTTGCTTAAGTTTTCATTGGAATTATTTTTTGTGACTTGCAAATTTTTTTTTCAATATTTATTTGATGTTTGTGAAATTTAGTAGAAATAATTAATACATTTTGTCTTACTGTAAGTCGATTTGGCTGGATGAGGTTTAACATGTACATGTAGCTATACTTCATGTGAAATGTACATGTACATGTACAATGTATATGCATGTATTTGCATATACATTGTACATGTACACAATGTACATGTCAAGTATGTTTTTCTTTTTTTCCGTGTCTTTTTCTAGACGTATCTCAGCTCTCTAATTTAGAGGATGAGCCGAGAGATCTTGCACTGAGTAAGAGTGAACCGATGATAGTCTGGTCTTTGCTTCTTAACGGGACGGTACTTGGTTTTGATCCTGAGACTAGGGAGAGAGTTGCTAAAGTATGTACATACACATTTATGTGTTTATATTTGTGTCCTTACGCTATGTAGAAAGTTTGAAATCATTTTGATTAATACATGTACTTTTTAAGTTATAGCCATTTTTAATTGAGCTAAAATCTGAAATTACCCAAGGCTTATATAGCCTATGGTTTTTCCAAAAAATAGCTCCAAAATCACCCCAAATTTTTATTACATTTTTTATACATATTGATGTCCTTATGCTGTCTAGAAAGTTTGAGCTAGTTCTGACTCCAATTTTTCAAGTTAAAGCCATTTTAAGAAAGCATAAAAATTCTATGAAATACCCAAGGCTATAGCTCATAGTTTTTTCCAAAAAATGGCTCCGAAATCACCCCAAATTTTTATTACATTTTTATACATATTGATGTCCTTATGCTGTCTAGAAAGTTTGAGCTAGTTCTGACTCCAATTTTTCAAGTTACAGCCATTTTAAGAAATGAGCCAAAATCTGAAAAATACCCAAGGCTATTAGTAACGCGGTAGCGTTACTAAGTAGGATTCACCCCCAAACAAAATGGCTGCCACTACTTTTGCAGCCTTGCTATACCGGGAAAACGAGCTCCTATGCTTACCAGACTTTATAGAGGACCTCATCTTGACCAGAGGACTCCAATGGTACCACTAGCGTGGCTCTAGACCTTGTCTAAGCGAAAAGTCAAAAATCGGCGAACCGGCCGTTTTGTTCAGCCACCTTTTTTCATCTTCATCATCATCTTCATCTTCATAATCAAGTCCTTCAATCCAG